CGCATGACGGAGTGAGCTCCCATCTCTAGTTCCAGCTCCTGCCAACCTAGCAGTTTGAAAGCAAGAAATTGCAAGTAGATAAATAGGTACCACTTTGGTGGGAAGGTAACAGCGTTCCGTGCACCTTGGTGTTTAGTCATGTCGGCCACATGCTTATCACGGAAACGTCTTCGGACAGCGCTGGCTCTTCGGCTTTGAAACGGAGATGAGCACTGCAACCCTAGAGTCAGATTCGACTGGCTTTCGAGCAAGGGAACCTTTACTAGCCATGCAGAATCATAGAGTTGGAAGGGACCTACAGGGCCATCTAGTTCAACCCCCTGCACAATGCAGGACATTCACAAATACCACTCTCCCTAGTGACCCCTGTTCCCTGCCCAGAGGATGATAAAAAATCTCCAGGATCCCTGACCAAACTGGCCTGGAGAAAAATTACTTCCTGAACCCAAAGTGGCAATCAGCATTTCCCTGGGCTTGTAAGAAAGGGAACTAAGCAATGATGCAACCCTTCCTGCCCTCCCTCTCATGATCTGCTCTGTCTTCTGGTAATGTACAGCTGCTGGAGAATTAACCAGAACCCATAAAGGCACTCAGCCATGTCCACCACATGGCAATCCAGCAGCAATGCTGGTCCCATGTATCTAGGTGGTTTACAGTAAACCATAGACAAAAAGAAGTCATCAGTAAAATTGAATAGGAATACTATACCTCAGAACTACTAAATACAGGGCATTTTTTGGGCAGAAATGCACAGGAACGAAGTTCCGGCTGGCTCCCAAGTTGGCCACACCCAGCAGGAACTCATTAGCATAACAGGCCACACCCAACAGCAGAAACTCATTAGAATTGGCTACAGTAGGCGTGTGTGGCCTAACATGCAAAGGAGTTCCTGCAACAAAAAAAGCCCTGGGTTTTGACAACAAACAAGGTAAACAGAATAAGAAGCAAAAGGTGGGTGTGGCTGGATGACCATACTTCTGGTAACATGGGAATGCAGCCTAATATGCTAATGAGTGGTGCAATCAGGGGTGTGGCCTAATATGCTAATGAGTTCCTGCTGGACTTTTTCTACAAAAAAAGCCCTGATTAAATATAAACTCACATTCAGTGTCTACTTAAATGCAGCCTAAATAAAAAGATCTTGCATTGCCTACCTAATGTCTTCTGGAACAGGCAATAGTCCCCGCTTCACCCCTTGGAGTGAAGACAATCAGTCATAGAACATTCTTCAGCTGTGGTGTGAACTCATCTCCACAATTTACATATCAGATAGACAGACCAACATGCCAAAGCTATCAGCCATACCATTGTCTTCCTGTCTACTTTTTAAAAAGCAGCTGATGTATGTTTGTTTACCTGTTCATCATCAAGCTTTGCACAAAGGAATGGGGTAGTAGGAGGTTGTGTTGATGAAGTCACATACACTAGTCAATCTAGATTTTTACCAATTCAAACTGAATCACACATCTAAATTGCAAAACTACCTTTTAGATGTGGCTGAAGACAGTGAATGCTACAGTCATATCAAACATGGTGAGGGGGCTTCCAAACCGGTATACAATGCTGCATTTATCAACTAGCTGAAGGCAATTTTAAAGATGGGATTGATTCATGTGGTATCTCTTGACTGTCTCTTTTGTATTTTTGCAGGGTACCGATTTGTATTGTTTCAAATACTTGCAGAAGACCTTTCTGAAACGATTTCCTGCTTTCTTTAAACTATCGCCTTTTCCAGCTTAAGTGGGGTCTCCTAGAAATGAACTCCATATGATAGCATTCTTATTAGATAACAGGACACTGCTTTTCCATCTCATCAAATATATGAGATAGTTCAGAAAAAAAACTCTGCCCAGATTCTTCTGTTATTTTTACTTTCGGCCTGGCATGGGATGGTGGAGTGGGAAGAGCCACCTTGAAACACCCTCCACTGTGCTATAATTAACTGCATATAAAAGCAAGCAAAATGGCTGTCATACCACCTAATATCTCACTAATATGATTTAGCCAACTCCCTTGAATAGTAAAACCCCTTTCCAAGAAGAACTACATTCTTGTTTTATATTAGTTTATTTTCGACATTTACCTTTTATTTTAAAGGCAAATCAATGGTGATATCCATGAAGTGAGACTTCTGCATATGAGAGTAGAATGAGTCTACTTTATCCCCCACCTTTGCTTCCTACCCCTTTCCTCATTTTGTATTTTGCATCATCTCCACTAGGCTACCATGGGATTCTGCACAGCAGAAGAAAAGACACCAGACAAAGAAGTCTTACCCACAGGCTTTGTGTATGAACAGAACATATATCTATGAGTTCATCAGCTTAACAAGTTTCCCTTCCAAGAAGGAACTGTTTGCCTGTCCCACTGTGCTATTTCATGGCAGCTTGCATTGCTACTTCAGTTTGGTTAATTATTTCTTATCAACCTAACAAAAGGACTGGGGAAAGGGGTGGAGGATCCATGACATCTAGAAACTCCACCACTGTTCTGACTCCACCTAAATTCCTCAGTACTTTGCAGGCCATATTAGAGACTAGCCCTGGGACAATTAAAACAGGAGCAGAGGTATACAACAGTCACATTTTCCTTTCAAAAGATGGAGAAATAAATGAGTCTTGGAAGTGGAGACAGTGGTAAGAGAAGAGAAAGAGCAACCTTTACCAGGATTTTCTTTAAAAGGCTACATCTACTACATAAAAAAATAGAATTGCCACCTGACCAGAAAAAATCACCTAATGTACTCTTGTGTCTTTAACAGCAACTTGATCTGGATAAATCAGAAGTGAAACTTATCTCAACATTTGACTCCTTGTTGAGACCAATATGACTACCTGTTAATATCTACACAGGAAACTGTTCTTAGAGGCACCACTATAGAAGATTTTTTACAAGGTAGCAGTCCTATTTAAAAGAGGATACTATTTTTTTTAAAAAATTATACTTGTATTGATAGTGACATGCCAGCCAGTCCAGCAGATCTTGAGCTTAAAGGGGCAGTGGTGGTCTTACATGGTCTATGAGTCAAGCTGCTTTGTTTGGCCACAGCCCACAGAGGTTTGCCAGTTCATATTAAAGCTGTCAGTTTTTCAGACAGCCTCTGCAGCTGTACCTTTAAGGGTGACTAGTTGTACAGACATTAGCCAGCAATTCTTCTTGTCCCTAGGCTATGAAAAGCCTCAGTCACTGATTTGTGCTGCTAAAGGATTTTTCTGATCAGCTGGCAATTGTAGTTTACATGAGTGGAAGTTATCAATCAGACTAGTCAGTTGTATGTGCAAATCACAACTTAAAAGAAATCATAACCTTTAAATTAAAACTGACACAATGATATATTATGAACAATTCAAAACAAATGTAGTTGCAATTTTCTTGTCTAAAGTTCTGCATGGTGTTAATCTCTAACAGACATTATTCAGTGAAAATCAGTTATTCAGTAGCAAATACGTTAATTCAGCTTCAGTTGTAAGGCTGCTGACCTGTAATTAAATCCTGTTTACTGTAATGCGATTTAGGACTGATACTCAAGATCACTTAAGCCTAATGGAAGGTGCCCAACAGCAAAGAAGAGGAAGGTTGCAGGGCCTCTAAGAGGTGTGTAAAAAGAAAACAGAAAAGTCCTGTAGCACCTGAGACACCTGAGATAGTGCCACCCTTAGCAGAATTACATCCTAAACCAATTGAAGTCAATGAGCTTAGAGAGGAGTAACTTTGCTGAGGGTGGCAGTGTTACTGTACAAAAAAGAGCAGCTCATCCTGCAGGAGCTGAGAAAAGCTACATTTACTGAAATTCTCTCTGCAACATACCCTGGTGTATTTACAATCTGTGTGGTGATAGGTTTTCCCCAAACCTTTTACTGCTAGTTTGACATCTACACTAGGGTTTGCGATAGTATCACACACACACACACTTCCCACACTGTACATTCAGTCCCTTGAATCATTGATGGAAAAGGGTATTTTATTTCTGAAATGGCATAAGACATCCCGCCCCCCACACACACCCTGTGCATGCTCACACACACCAGTAAAAGGTACCTGTTTTCCCCATGTTTTGAGCCGGCAGAGGTACAATAATTCAGATAAATTAGCAATACAGTATGCAATATGATCCTCCTGTGAATATTTAGGTTTATTTATTTCATTTATTCAGAATATTTCTACATTGCATCAGGGTCCAAGTTGTGACCCGTTAAAAGATTTAAAGGCCAAGGCTGTAAACAGAAGTAAATTCCATTAGGTGCAGGTTGAAAATTAATTTTTTAAAGTTTCCCCTACTCTCAACAATTCTAGAATAATTCACATGCTACATATATCGAGGTCGTAATTTCCAGTTAAATACATAAGGGGAAAAGTGTCCTGCTTCCTGCCCTTTCTGAAAGGCCCCTGCCCATGGACAGGCATGAGGAACTGGTCATCAGAGCCTTTTATCCACACACGGATTCCATCTGCTGTTTAAGACCACTTTTACCTGGTGTATATATCGTGCTTGAATTTTTAGTCTGCAATACAGTATTTTCCAAACTGTGAAGAGCGCTAAAAAATTCAAGCACGATTTATAAGCCAGGTAAAAGTGGATTTAAACAGCAGATCGAATCCGTGTGTGGTTAAAAGGCTCTGATGACCAGCTCAATTGGGGCCTCTTCTCTACCTCCAGGATTAATAATGTTCCAGGCCTCGGATGAAGAAAGGAGAGAGAAAGGAAATCTCCCCGTTTCCTTTCTATGTTCCCCTTTGAATTTCCTCTTCTCATCGCAGAGAAGACTCACAAGTATTTCCGTTACAAAAAGAAAGAAAAAATCATGCTCAGCGGCTGTCTGTTTAAGAACCAACCCCAAGTACTTCCTCTGGGAAAAGAAAGAAAAGCTCGGCCGCGGCATTCCCTTTAAGAACTGACTCCGCCCCCAAAGTGAAGGGAGGGGTTCCCTACTGGATGACGTCTACCTCTCCCATTGATAAAAGCGCCGGGATTCCCTCGGCCGTAGGTAGAGAGCGTACCGAAGTTCCGTTGCCGGCGCGCCACGTGGCTTTGTGCGGGACTGGTGGAGGTCTTGGGCTGGCCGAGGGCTGACCAGTCCCACCTCCTTTCCCTGCCGTAAGGAAGCCACCCCTGTTAATAATGGATCCCGCTTGCTTTCTCCCGTCCCACCAGTTCAATGGTAGCCCGTTGGGCTCGGATTTGTATAAAACGTCTCCTACATTCGCTTCATCTAAAACCGGGCGGACGGAGCAGCCTAAAGCGGTTGAACCGACCCGCATCATCACGGATCCGGTTACGGGCCGGGCTTACAGCAAAGGCCGTCTGCTTGGCAAGGTAGGTCGGTGGTGTCACGGAGAGGGTGGGTGGGGGGCATGCTGTGCGGAACGAAGGCAAGGGGGCTGAGCGCAAAAAACGCGGGTCGCTTGCTCCTGAGCAGCCCGATTGTCTGGCTTTCTGTGTAGCCGGCCGCGTTGGCGAGTGCTTTCCTACCCTTAGGAACGCGTGCTTTTGCTTGAAGTGGTGTTGTTAATCTGCGTTAGCGACTGTGAGAACGGGCAGGCGAGGGCGTTATTCCAGTTTAGGTGTTCCGAGTTGCGACGGAGACACTCGTGGCCCGCCGTGATCGAGGACCGAAGGGCGCCGCTCTCTTGTGTGAGGTTCTGGCCAAGCGGCGCCCTTCGGGTTCCCCATCGCTGTGCGGCTTGGCCTGCGCCGTTCTGACGCCTGCTGTGTTGGTGGTGGCCGCTCTCTCAGCTTCTCGTGATGCCCGATGATCTGAAGCAGGTCTGGACGTGATTGCCCCCCCCCCTCCCCGCCGTTTGTATGGAGTGGGAGGTGGGCTTATTAAGTACGATCCAATCCTTCTCTTCCTCCGCCGACTTTCCTATGCATTACACTCTGCGCGTTTTTCCTTTCTTCTCCCCACTCGAGCTGGAGCGCTCTTTCAGTCCTTGATCTCCTTCCTCCCGGTCCCGCGAAACGGACTGGCTTCTCCAAGTGGAGAGTGGACTTTTTAATAAAACTGGATGGCCAGGCAGCGGCTACTGCATGAAGGGAGATGGTTGTGAGCCTGCAACCTTGTCAACCGGGAGTGATTTTGTCATGAACCTTCCCTTGTGACAGATTTTGCAAAATGTTACAAGCCCTGTTCCAGCTGCTGGGGCTTCTCTTTCCCCCACATTCCTGTCTGACTAGGCTTATATTGCAAGGTATTTAATTATTGTTTTCCATTGCTTTCGGTGCCTGTGGAACTCCCTGTGTTATGTCTGATCTGAATAAGTGATCTCTCCTGTAGGAGCTGGGAGGTGACCTGAGTTCACCAATGGATTATGAGCTAATTGCATGTGGACTGCTTTGTGCTGCAATAAATGTTCTATCTAATATTTCCCTTCTACTGAGTGGAGTAGTTCACACCCTGAGCAGATAATGACTGCTGTCGTCTTAAAATGGGCAATGGGCAGTGCAAGGCCCTGAGCAGCTCCAGATTGCTGCTGAGTGGGGATTCCTGTGTTAATGAGCGGCCGCTCAGGCACACGGCTTAGAAGGAACTCTGGCAGTTCTTGAAAATCATGCTGGGCCTGATGGCCCTTGCTCTGATCTAGTAAAGAGGGCTGATAGCATAGTGGGTAGAACACACGCATGGCAAGTAGATGATTCCAAGCTCAGTAGCTGGCATTCTGGCCACCATGATCTCAGGTAGTAGGTGCTGGAAAAACATCTTTCACTATCAGAGACCCCAGAGAGCTGATGCTAGGCAAAGCAGGCCGTCTTGAGTGAGATGAGCCAATGCGATGACTCTGTACAAGACAGCTTCATAGGATCCAGTGAGGCATTGCTTATCACAGGGCTAAAGTCGAGTATGTTAAAACAGATGAGTGATAACTATTAAGGTACCTTGAGTGGTGCCCCCTTTTTTGCCTTGTGAATTTAAAATGGTCTGTGGATTTTAGCAAAATAAAAAATACATTTAGGATTGAAGTCTGCCTATGTTAGCCTCCTGCATGCAAAGCAGAAAAGCCTGGTTAAGGGCTACTAAATCCAAATTATTACCATCCTACTATAGTAAAAACAGTGTTGAAAAAAAGTGCATAGTGAATGCCTGCAACCATTAACTGATTCCAGTACCTTAGAGTTTCCTGGCTTTTCAAGGGTCTGTTGTGACTTAGTGGTTACAGTGACAGACTTGGGTCAGAGTCCTCTCTTCAAAGGAGTCCTACTTGCATGAAGCTTTCGGAATTTCTTTAGGCCAATCAAACTTCAGCCTACTTTACTCACATGACTGTGAATATAAAATGTGGGTAGCCTTTATATGGACTTCTTGGGGGGGGGGAAGTGTAGGCTGTAAATGTGAAAAGTCTATCTGAACACTGGATTTTGAATAGTAGTTTGAATAAGAAAAAACCCTAGGGTGTTGGAAATATGACCTTCTAGGCCAGGATCAGAAGGCCTCTGTCTGCAAACCTTGATAGACTATTCTACTGAATCCAATGGGCATCAGGTGTGGCTGGCAGCAGGCTGCACCCATAGCCTTCTGGGAAATAAAAAAATGGACACCTTCCAACTGAAAACATAAAGGTCAGTTACTGACATTTGAGCAATGACTGGGCTTGTATGTTGTATACACAGTGGTCAGATTCCACCCAAATCTGGTCTTTGTGTGTTCTGCTTAGATGGTGTTTGGGTTTTTTGTTTGTTCGTTCCTTCCCAGTAGGCCATGGGTACAACCCAATATTAGCTCCATCTTGTGCCCAGTGGTCTCAGAGCTTTCAGTCAGGATGCAGACAAAAGCCTTATGATGATGTCTGAAAGATTATTCCCCCCCCCCCATTTTAACGTCCAGTCTCAGTAGTCCTGGAGATGCTGAAAGCTTGTGTGCTACATTATGTTTTGGCTGGTCTTCATTAAAGCAATTGCACATTTTTTAAACACATGTGAACAGTCTGAAATATGGAAGTGCTGAAGGGAGGTTGGGCTAAAGAAGGGCCTTTGATACTCTGGCTCTTGCCAGTGGTCAGCTCCTATACTGTCCTCTTTATCCCACTGCACCATTCCCTGGCAAAACAAAACCTTGCCCAGCAGCCGACTTACCACTGAGTCTGCAAACAAAGCAAAAATACCAATGTTTATTATTTAAATGATAAAACCCAGTACTCTTTTTTCAGCGTAACATTGGGGCTACAAAGTGGTGAGAATTATGTAATATACCACAATTACATTGTTGTTGTTGTTCAGTCGCACAGTCGAGTCCGACTCTTCGCGACCCCATGGACTAGATCCCGCCAGGCCCTCCTGTCTTCCGCTGTCCTCTGAAGTTTGCTCAGTTTCATGTTCGTTGCATCGAGGACACTGTCCAACCATCTCATCCTTTGCCGTCCCCGTCTTCTTTGACCTTCAATCTTTCCCAGCATCAGGGTCTTCTCCAGTGAGTGCTCCCTTCTCATTTGGTGGCCAAAGTATTTGAGCTTCATTTTCATTATCTGGCCTTCCAGGGAGCAGTCAGGGTTGATTTCTTTTAGGATTGACTGATTTGTTCTTCTTGCAGTCCAAGAGACTCTCAAGAGTCTTCTCCAGCACCATAGTTCAAAAGAATCTATTCTTCGGCACTCGGCCTTCCTTATAGTCCAACTCTCGCAGCCATACATGACTACTGGGAATACCATTGCTTGGACCATGCGGACTTTTGTTGGCAGGGTGATGTCTCTACTTTTTATCATGCTGTTTAGGTTCGCCATCGCATTCCTCCCAAGTAGCAGGTGTCAATTACAGCAAACTAAGACAGGAGTCCAATGGCTCTTTAAAGGGTAATGTTTATTTCAGTGTAAGCTTTCCTGAGGTCACTTCAGATTCATAGGACAGGTATCTGATGAAGTGATCTCTGACTCAAGAATGCCCATGCCAGAATAAATTTTGTGTTAGCCCTTAAGATGCTGCTGGAGTCCTGCCTTTTATGGCATATGTAAGTTTCCTAGAACACTTGTTGTTTTTGTTGCCCTGATGTTCTTTTAAGTGAGGAACAGTTTTCTGACTTAAAACCTCAATGCCCCACTGAGCCATCTATATAGGCAGAGTGGGGAGGTGTGAGAGACAGGCAGCAGTGTGCACACAGCAACCCCTCGGTCCTCTCAGTTAGTGAAGCTGGCATTCTTCCACTGATTGTGCTGCAAAGGAAGGGGAGTGTCTGTTGGCTCTTTTTGCCCCACCTCGAACAGTGTGATGTGTCACCTGGAGAGTTGGCTCATCATATATGGGGGTGTCTTGGATCTTCTAAACAAGGGCTTTACCTTGAGTTTGGTTACTGTTGAGCCTTTTCTGTTCTTTCTTACTAGATCCTTTTTGGTGATGTTGTCTGGAACTGTTTTAATAGTGATACCCAAGCTAGGAGTCTTTCACACAGTAACTGGTCCCCCCTTATTTTCAGAATGCTGTATAGGCGTGAGGCTCATTTTCGGTAGTGCATATGATGCAGCCAAGGATGTACTTGCTTCACCACTGGAAAAACCTGTCTTTAGAAGAACACTTTCAGTGTGTGGTTGTCCTGTGAACAGGGCTTACGCACATCTTGGAGAAAAGGTTATGATGCCAGTGGGTGGGGAGGGGCCCAAAGTAGTAATGCCAACTCCAGAGCACCAAGATGGCATATGGAAATACTTGAGCGTGTGCATTAAACCAGAGGCATAAAATAAAGGTGCTTGCATTCAAACTGGCAGGTCAAAAATACTGATCTCTGTAAATAGATATTCCAAGTGTGATACTATATGACATAATTCAAACTTTTAAAACTAATTTGCAAAGAGTTATTAAATTTTAACAAAACATGCAATGTATACTACAAACAAATAATCCTTTTAAGATAGGAAATAGAAGAGAAAAGGAAAGATAACATTAGATTAAATCTAAATAAAAATTAGATGGCATAATTTCGACAAATCAATTTGTAGGTACACAATATAATTCGAACATTTGTGAATGCTAATTTGGAGTTAAAATTGTGAGCAGATTTGCTTTAATGACTGGCCAAAAGAATTCACCCTAAAATCTTGAGTCTCCTGTGGATCCAGTTTGGTGTAGTGGTTAAGTGTGCAGACTCTAATCTGGGAGAACCGGGTTTGATTCCCCACTCCTCCACTTGCACCTGCTGATGTGACCTTGGGTCAGTCACAAGCTCTGGCACAGCTGTCCTTGAAAAAGAGCAGTTTGTGTCAGAGTTCTCTCAGCCCCACCCACCTCACAGGGTGTCTGTTGTGGGGAGGGGAAGGGAAAGGAGTTTGTAAGCCGCTCTGAGACTCCCTTGGGTAGTGAAGGGCGGGGTATAAATCCAATCTCTTCTTCTTCTTCTTCTAAATCTCTAGCTAACACATCCACATCCAACTAAAGGGATAGCATGCGGTATAGGGCACTGAAAGGCTGTCACACAGAAGAGGTCAAAGACTTGTTCTGTGCTGTTATGCAGAGCAAGATAATGGGCAGTATTTTACTACTCTGTGCATGGAGCATGGAGTTTTCTTGCAGTCCCTTCTGACCCCTGAAAAGATCATTTCCAGGATCACAGGACCCATGTGGGCAATAGGTATGTGGGTTGTTGGGGGAAGCTGTAATAAAGAACAAGGGAGTGAAATTGTTCCTTTTCCCGCAACTGTAGATTAAGAGAGGAAATGGGTCCCTTTCTTCCTCTTGTCCTCTCTTACTTCATCACTGACCCACACAGCTGTTCTTTCACATGGTTCCTGCAAACCTTTCTGAAGACTGGGACAAGTAGCAGGAAAGGAAGAAATTGTGTGAGGACAGAAGGTTGCATACTACGGAGTGAGTTTAAGTTACAGGAGGGTAAAGGTAAAGGTTCCCTTGGTTGAAAGCCAGTCGAGTCCGACTCTAGGGTTGCGGTGCTCATCTCCGTTTCAAAGCCGAAGAGCCAGCGCTGTCCGAAGATGTTTCCGTGGTCATGTGGCCGGCATGACTAAACACCAAGGCGCACAGAACGCTGTTACCTTCCCACCGAAGTGGTACCTATTTATCTACTTGCAATTTCTTGCTTTCGAACGGCTAGGTTGGCAGGAGCTGGAACTAGAGACGGGAGCTCACTCTGTCATGCGGTACAGGAGGGTAGCCTTTGGCTGAACATTGAGAGAAACTTCCTAACAATAAGAGTAGTTCATCAGTGGAGCGAGTTACCTGGGCTGGGAGAATCTTTCACTCACTGGAATTTTTCAAGCAGATACTGGGCAGCCATTGAGGGGGAATGTGGTAGTTTTATATTGCTTGCATTGAAGAGAAGGCTGGATGATGAGGCCCTCTAGAGCTCTATTTGCTGGAAGAGTGGAATGAATGAGTTTTTGGAACTCTGACAAATCCCATGAAAATGTACTTGCATGCATAATTCTCTTCATCCGGGCAAGGGGATGCTAAACAAGTATACAGTACTTGCAACGTGAATTAAAACCAAGGCCTGAGCTGTATAGTACTATTGGACAAACACTTGGTTGAAGTATCCCTGTGCTTAAGTGCTGATGGATGTGCTCTGGGGGTGCTTTTTAAGGGTGAGGTCATACATCCAAACTGTTGGCTCTTAGTGCCTGGTTTAGCTCCCATTTTGGTAACTTTTTGCCTGAGGTGATGAAGCAATGATATTTGGCACGCACGTCTTGCACTGGGAGCACATTGGTCATGTGGCAATTGCACTTAAGTAAACTCATTTTACCTGGGGCTTGCTCTACCATTCTAGCAGATGTAATTAGTCTTGGTTCTCAACTGCTCTTATTAGCATTGAATGCTGGAAGGAGTAAAGGCATATTTGGGGGTAAATTATGGTCTCTTTATGAATAAGACAAACATATTCTCTAGTGATTTGATAGAACTTAATAAATAAGGACTTGTGAATTGCTTAAGGGGAAGTGTGTGCTTGAAATGCCATTGCCTAATGTTTTCGAGCTGGTTTAGTAGAGATTGGCTTGGGTGCCACATGCTTGAATGAAACTGGCTCAAGATCTTTGTCATTCTGTTACTGAGATCTTTCAGATAAGGTCATTAATTCATGGGAGGATTATTAATTCATGGGAGGATTATTAACAGAAAATTTTTATAATTTGTTTTTACAATGGTCTTTTTTTTGGGTCAGGGAGGATTTGCAAGATGTTATGAAATGAGAGACCTCTCCAGCAGCCAGACCTATGCAGTAAAAGTCATTCCTCATAGCCGAGTGGCTAAGCCTCACCAACGTGAAAAGGTATGTGTCCAGAAGATCCTTAGGCACAGCAAGGCAGTTTCTAGTATGCGTCCAACCTCAAACAGGAATATTTGCTGACTCAGTACTGCTTATTCCAGATCATCAATGAAATTGAGCTACACAGAGACCTGCATCACAAACACATTGTGAAGTTCTCTCATCATTTTGAAGATTCAGAGAACATCTACATCTTTCTCGAGCACTGCAGCCGAAAAGTGAGACCCAGATCTTTATATATGGCCTTTGTGTCTCCCTGTAGGCATATTTACCTACCATCCGATACTTTTGCCTTCCTGTTTGTCTTAGCTTTATAGTGTAGCATGTTTTGGATGATAACCAAGTGCTATACATAAGCCTTATGTAAGAGTCTGTCGCACAAGTGCCCTTGCTATGGGAGTTGTTTGCTGCTGTGTACAGTAGCGCTTGCGCTATTCTTGGTTGCCTGTTCTTTTGTTGCAGTTCAAACACTTGTAAACAGTAAGTTGGTCACAGGCATTTTAACATCTTTGGCCGCTCCTGGTGTAGATCAAAGTTCATATAAAACTGTCTGACAAGGGTTGTTTTGGAATAGTGCTTTGATAGAAGTTCAGTTTTGCTAAAACAACATCTGAATCCATTCCAGGAATTAATTTTACTCTTGGTGTGCTGCTAAGTCCATTTTAGCTTCTCTTTGGTACCTGATGGTTGTATTTTGGTACACTTCCATTATGTTCTTTAACATTTAATAGAATTCCTTATCTCCTTGTGGTGTTCTTATGAACCTTGTATACTTAAATTTGTCTACAGACTAGCTTTCTTATTTGGGGGATTGTCCAGGTAATATTTTAAGAAAACTATCCAGGAGTTAAGAAGTGCTGTGCTTGTAATAAAATGGGGCACAGCTTAAATATCCAGAATGCACATGTAAAAGTAGGCTTCTGTTGGTGAAAGTGAGAAAGCATGTTCAGAACCAGTTAAAGTTTAGGGGTTGCTGGGTGGGAGTGACTACTGGGTGGGGCAAAGGTATGGGATGAGGGGAGGCTGGGAGCACTTGTCCATTCATGGTTTATGCTGCGGGATATCATAAGGTTGGTACAAATTTTGAGCCAAGTATGCACAGGTTGTAGTCAGCTGTCATGTAACCTGAAGGTGATTGCAGACATTTTTCTGTTTGATCACAAGGACAAGTAGCTATCTGTGCCTATTCCTAAATAACTCATGATCTTCTCTGGAAGGATCAACTCCTTAGCTAAACCCTTTTTCTTCCAGTCTTTGGCTCATATCTGGAAATCCCGACACACTCTTCTGGAGCCAGAGGTTCGATATTACCTCAAACAAATCATTTCTGCCTTGAAGTACCTTCATCTTAAGGGCATTCTGCACAGGGACCTCAAATTAGGTGTGTACATTATGACGTGTAGATGTGAGAAGCTGAAATCAAACTCCCCCTGATATGTCACCCAGAATTCATCCAGTACACTAGCATAATTTAACATGCACTGATGTAGTGCCATTATTTAGGCTTCCAGTGTGGAATATATTAATCTTTTGAATGGTAAGGAGTGTGAAGTGTAGCCTTGCAAGGTGTGTGTGGTGGGGAAATGCAAAGGTCAGAACTACTCAGTCCAAAGGCCTCTTCAGCAGGTACCATCTATTTTCCCTCTCATTTGGGCCTAGAAACTTGTTACTTTTGTGTTTTAAAAAATTAAAAGTGGAGATTCTGATTGCTGAAACCTATGTTAGATCTTCAAGCTCTGTTCTGTGTGTGGGGAGGGTTGTGGTATATGAGAATTGTGACTTCTAAAGCCCTAATGTCTGCCTTCTGCTGCAGGTAACTTTTTCATCAGTGAAAACATGGAATTGAAGGTTGGCGATTTCGGTTTGGCTGCCCGACAAGAACCTGCAGACCAGAGGAAAAAGTGAGCGGCTGAAATGCTTTCCCTTCTGTAATTGTGTCTGAGCTTACTCTGGAGTAATAGTGAAGAGGCTTCTTCTATAGTGCCTCTGTGTCCTGTCACCCTATTCTTGCAGCTGTGTGGGGGCTCACAGTGCAACAGAAACCGTGGGGTTTGAAATAGACTCCTTTGCTTCAGCTGGAACTTGGTGGCCAAAGAAACAATGCAGCCACTGTATATGCAGTTGTGTCTAACGCAGAGGCCTCCTGTTTGAATAGCAAAGGGAAACAATGCCGACCTTATCTTGGGTTATGCCTTATGCAAACTGTTAATTCTGGCTGCTCCAGTGGATGGGGGAGGGCAAATGTGCAGGGCAGAAAGGAGCTCTGGAGGGGAAGGGAGTGTCTAAGCACATGAGTTGTAGTACTGACAGTCCAGTGTGAGTAACTAGATGCAAGGAGTAGGGTGAGCCACCTGGGACAGTGGTTCAGGTGACCACATGTCTAACCAGGAAGCTGCAGCTGAGGCTTCTGGTAGATCAACTTGTTGGAGCAAGACCCACAGGTATTGCTTTTTTGTGTGTTTGGGGGCACTGGGCTGTTGGAAAAGGAAATTTATTGAGGCAAACAGATCAGAATCCCAGCTGCAGGCTCTGTTGTCAGTTGAGGGTCCGTTTTGTGGTTTTCATGAGGTCTTGATGAGCCTTTGCTCACAGACCTAATGTATTAAGATGCATCACAGTTTATTTCAAAAGAGGAAGTCAGTTTTCACTGCTAGTAGAAATTTTAAAGAGGTGATCTTGAAGTCATGAATTTTTAAAAAATAAAAAGGATCCCTTTTTGGCTTATTTGACCTTTCTATAACTTCTTCCTAGGTACTTGTTGTTTGCAATTGTAGGATAAAATTCTAATATAATTGGAGGGACATTATAACAATCTGTTTATTAACCACTTGTGTTGGGTGGTTTTGTTGAGCATTAGTGATGCTTCTTGTGTTATAATGAATCAAATGGGATGGGGGAGAATTTGAGACATTACTGAGTTCCAGCAGCAACCATGCTAATGGTAACCACACTCTCCCTTTCCAGAACTATCTGTGGTACTCCCAACTATCTTGCTCCAGAAGTGCTGCTCCGACAAGGACATGGGCCGGAGTCAGATGTCTGGTCTCTAGGCTGTGTCATGTAAGTCTGGAGTTTGAGTGTTACGAGGTAGCTGTGTGCATCTCTGTGAAATCAGACCTCCAAGAAGTGGTCATTCCTTCACTGTTGCCTTCTGGCTATACTGGGACTGAACTTAACAAAACTCCTAAAAAGCTTATCAAGGTCTTCTCCAGAATGTATGATGCAAAGAGAGCCATTTCCTTCTCACTATGCTGATGGCAAAAGCAGGCTTCCAATTGATGATGCTGTATCTGAAGAAGTGAGCAGTGACTCACGAAAGCTCATAGCCTGCCACATATTTTATTAGTCTTTAAGGTGCTACTGGACTCTTTCTCTTTTATACTGCTACAGACAGACTAACATGGCTACGCATCATGAGCCAACCCACCAAGGTAGTCTGGAATTCCAGGCCCCAAAATGGAACTGGTGACGCTGCAAATCTCTAAAGCTGAGTGGCTCCTGCCTTGCCAGTTCTGTCAGTGATTGGGAGGCTCGGCCTGCAACTCATACAAACTGGATGCTAACTGGTCCCTCATTAGATGTTACCATCATAGTTTGGCTGCAACTAGGAGTTCTTAAACTATTGTTCTGAGCTAATTTTCATGAGTCCAAGTGTCATTCTGGGCTGTGTGCTGGGCAGGCAGTTAAAAGACAAGTTGGAGCTGAAAACATATTGTCACTTGCCTGTTTCTGCTGAAGAGTAGTTACAATGGAAAAAGTGGTTTGCCTGTGGTACACAGTTGGCTATTCGGCTTAGGTGTTTCTGAGCAACTTTCCGGAGTATGTCTTCGAAGTCATTTCAGCTTTCAGATCTTTGCCCCACTTAGCCACAACTTCCTGTTTAAACTTTCCATTTACTGCTATGTTATGAAAACTGTCTCCTCTCTGTGTGTGTGTGTGTGTGTGTGTGTGTGTGTGTGGAGGCGGCAAAGTCTGAGTGAATAGCTGATGAGGCAGAGGGCAGATCTTAGCCTTGTCTCTTGACCACATTGGGGTGCGGGGCACCACCTGTACAAATCCTAACTTAAAAGGCTGTTGGCTGTAATCCCATGAGGAGTGACTGTCTTCTGCCATCCGGATGTGCCTCCGGTCTGCTAGTACCTGGAGCACTTCATGAGTTTTATTACAGGGAATGCTTAAAGCTGGGCGTTGCCTCATGTCAGCTTCCTCTAGAGTTGTTGCTGAGTCATATGCGGATAAGATCATGCCATTGCTGGCTGGTACAGAAGCATTCTTCACAAATACCCTTGGCATTCTGCCATTCACCACCACCTTCTCTTTGCATCTTCTCAGGTACACTTTGCTATGTGGAAACCCCCCTTTTGAGACATCTGATCTCAAGGAGACCTACAAATGCATCAAGCATGTGACCTATACACTTCCAGTGTTCCTTTCCATTCCAGCCAAGAACCTGCTTATGGGCATCTTGAAACGCAACCCACAGGAGCGTTTAACATTGGAGGAAATCTTGGATCATGAGTTCTTCACCAAAGTGAGCGCAGGTCTTCTGAGTGCATTACTTAACTCATAATAGGACTGTTGCCAGAACAGAAAACTGGTGTGGTATAAAAACCACAGAGTGTGCTATACTTCTAGAGGCCAAGTCATTGGATGGAACTTCTAATTGGGCCCCACCATTATATGGATGGCAAGTGTCCCTCTTAATAAGGGTGTTAGCTTCTGGAATCGTGCCTAGATTGCAATTTAGGTAATTACATCCTGCTTCTAATTAGCTCTTACAGTTCTCAGATGTTACTTTTTGCTCTTGCCTTTGTTGCTGGGTAGCCTGACTTACATCCTTGCCAAGGGAACATTTCATCACAATAGCTCTTGAGGACTACTCCTAAAATTGGGGGAAACGGTCAAATCTAGTCAATGAGCAATAGGCACCTGTACACAAATGACTCAGATTGCCACCTCCTCCTTTTGTCTATTGGTGTCTCATTCAGCTTGGCTAATGGTGCTGACTTTTCTAGGGGTACACACCTGATAAACTCCCACCCAGCAGCTGTGTGATGGTGCCAGAACTGAATCCCCCCAACCCTGCCAAGAGCCTGTTTGTAAAGGTCACAAAGACTCTCTTTGGAAAAAGGAAATCCAAAGGTAAGCTTGTTTTGGCAGCTGACTTGCATCCAAAGAACTAACATGTCATTCCTGGCTTGAAACTGCCCAGTGGTGGTCATCTGTTTTGTTGGCTGGGGTGGAAACTCATAGGACAGGCAGCATACTGAATACTGTAGCTTTATCATCTGAGGTCCAAAATGTGGGGAAAAGTGTTGCAGCCAATTTCTAAATGATCTTCCTACTTAAGTAGGCCTAGAAGAAAAATCAGTGTTTTGCTTATTGCTTACAAAGGTGTGCTTAAAGAGACAAAGTTCAGATGCTTGTTCCACACATACTCCAGTATTTAGCCTATTGTGGCTCTTTCTCTATGAGGTGCCTGATGTACTTGTCTTCAGGGAGTATCGGCACTGCAGGCCTGTCTCAGCTAGTAATCTGAGTTGAGTTACTAACCCTTCCTTTCCTTTTCTAGTTAAGAAGTCTCCCTCAGAAGAAAGAGATGAAATTTCCAAGTTGGTAACAGGCCTTGTGAAGACCTCTATCTGTAGACAGATGAGTCACAAAACTGTGGAAGGGAATGAGGTAAGCTTAACTGCAGGTGCTTGTTAGCCAGTTACCACTTTTGGAGTGGGAGGGAGGAAAAAATCAGTGAGGGAGAAGTTCTGGTAGCTCCTGAACCTGCTAGGAGGCAAAAGAGAGGTTCACAATGAGCTCAATTGACTTTTTCTTTGCAGGTCACCCCTTTGAGTGGCCAGAGTCCTAGCTCTAGCCCAGCAGTGACTGTAGCAGAAGAAGGCTCACGGAAGTCAATCTCCAGGTCCATTCGTGGGACAATGGCTAGCACCTCTGAAGGTGAAAAGAGTTCCTTGGTGTGGTGGAATTGCCAGCTACTAGAACCTGCTCCAGTGTAGTGGAACAGAGTTGCCTGTAGACTCCGTCCTTCATTATAAGTTCCCTGAGGTGAAAATAATGGGAGATAGAGTTTATAAACGCATTTGGACTGGAGTAATTTTGAGAGGCAGAAATATTAACTTATGCGTGCCATTTTCTATTGAATTAATTAATATTATTTACAAATGAAGTAGAAGCAGAATAGAATTGGCAACTTGTAGAAGATCATTATTAAAGAGTGTTAAATTCATTTTCGATTGTAGAATAACTTGTAAATTGTAAGACATTGAAATGAATAAAAAATTGGGGGGGGGGAGTTCTCTGAGGTATTGGAGTTCAAGCAAACTGCTTCTTAACGTGGAGGCTTTCATTTAGCAATGGCTCCTGGCTACAGTAGCTAAGTAGAACCTTCATGTTCATTGGCAGGTTAACTCTGACTGCCATAAGCTTAGGGACAAATGGAGAGAATTGTTGCTTTTGGTAAACTTCTGAAAGCATCTCTCCTATCACTGCTGCAAACAGAATGCTGGCCTTGATGGGCCTTGGGTTATATCCCAGAATGCTTATATTTAAAGCACAGTTGAAAATAGCTTGGTTTCCCTGAAGCCCAGTTCTAGCTCTTGAGTGAGGTCCTCTCTTGGTAGAGGTGAATTTCTCTACCATTCCTATCTAGTTTTGAGCTCTACGTGTAAGCTATCATGATGCATTCATGGGAACACCATGTTAAGCTGTTCATGCCTCATGTATCTATCTTCTCCCCTTTTAGTATTTGAAGATTGTGTCACAGCATCAGCCGTCATTGAGTCTGCTATTGCGCTCTTGAAGAACTGTCTGTCCATCATGCCTCCAGGTAAATTTAAGCTTCAGTCTGTTTAAATGTGTAGGAATACTTGGATTTCTTCTCTTGTCCTCTGTTTGAGACAGCGGGGGAAGAAATGGAAGAGTTGATGTCTTGGAAGTGAATACTGGAGAAGGGGCGTGTAATAGGTAATACCTTACTGGTAATACCTTACAGTAATACCTTACTGGTATTTTTCAGGTAGATCTTGGCATCCCAAATGTATCCGGGTTTTCTTGGGAAACCGGGGGGGGGGGATCCTGAAAAAATCTTGGATATATTTGGGAATTACTGAGCCGAAAACAGCAGAGAGGAGGAGGAGGAGGAGCAGTCTCTCAACTGTTTTGTCAGGCTTCTACTGCAGTAAAGTTTAAAGGAGCTGCAGAAAGCAACCCGAGGGTCAGCTGTGCTGCTGGGGAGCAGTCTGTTCCTGCCAGCTCAGTTTAGGGCTGGCTTCTCCTGCAGCCCGGTTTAAACTGGCACAGCAGCTCCTGAGGCTCGCTTCTCCTGCAGCCTGGTTTAAACCAGACTGCAGAAGAAGAAAATTGGATTTATACCCCGCGTTTCACTTGCTTGTGCCCGTGGGGAGCAGACTATTCCCTGCTGGCTCAGCTTTGCACGGCTTTCTCTTTTAACCAGTAGTTTTCGTCTCGGGTCTATTGGACCTGAAAAAAATTAGGATTTCTGAGAAATCTCAGGTCTGAATACTGTAGCAGTATTGGAATCTTGGATTTTCCAGAAATCCAAAAAATTTCAGGTCCAGTAAAACTAAATGGAAAAATATTGGTTAAATTTTTGCACCTCTGTAGTGCATAACCAAGGACATAAAGCTAGAAGCAGCTGCCTTTTGAAGCCTTAAGTTTATTCAGACTTCTTGGGACCCAACATTACAGGCATATAAGGATGAGAAGAGCATAGAACTGAGCAGGGAAGACACCAACCACCTCATCCTATATATATATCCCTACGTATTGGCACTTTCCAGCTCTCCCATTGGCTGTGCATTCCATCAGCTATTGGCCCATCAACCACTGCTCAAGAGTACTCGTGTGCCGTTGACTGGGTGCTGGGTCCAATCCTCCCCCCCCCCCACCCTCTGCAAGCCTGGACACTCTTCCCTGACAGATGATGAAGAAGAAGAGATTGGATTTATACCCCGCCCTTCACTACCCAAAGGTGTCTCAGAGCGGCTTACAAACTCCTTTCCCTTCCCCTCCTCACAACAGATATCCTGTGAGGTAGGTGGGGCTGAGAGAGCTCTTGACAGAAACTGCTCTTTTTCAAGGACAGCTCTTATCAGAACTACGGCTTGCCCAAGGTCATCCAGCCAGGTGCAAGTGGAGGAGCGGGGGATCAAACCCGGTTTTCCCAGATTAGAGTCCGCACACTTAACCACTACACCAAACTGCCAAAATGGCTGTCTCCTGACAAAGACATTTCTCCTGCTTGGCTCCTGTGGGACTAACTTTTCCCTCAGTGGCTATTGCTAGACAACCAAGCTTGGTTCTGTCAGTAAAAAAGCAAAGGCAGGAGGCCCTTTCCAGACCTTTGTGGGGAACTCATTGGGGCCAGTCCTGAGCTAGGGTTGCCAGCTCCAGATTGAGAAATTCCTGGATATTTTGTGGTGGAGTCTACGGAAGCCAGAGTTTGGGGAGGGAAGAGGCCTCAACTGAATAGAGTGCCATAGAGTCCACCCTCAAAAGCAGTTATTTTCTCCAGGGAGAGAGAGATCTGTTGTCCGGAGTTCCGTTGTGATAACCTAGCCATCTTCAGGCTCCACCTGAAAGTTGGCTACTCTAGACGTAGCAATTAGCGCTTCAGAACAGGGTCTGCCAGACCCAGTTTCTTACTGTGGAAGTTGAGTGGGTGATTTCGGACCCATCACAGACTTTCAGCCTAACCTACCTCACAGGGAAGTTGTGCAGATCAAAAGAGGGAGAGGAGAATGATGTGAGCTGCTTTGGTCCCCACTGTGGAGAAAAACTGCACTTTTCCTAGGTAGAGGCTGTAGGGAGGGAGGAGGAGATGGTAACCTGAAGTCAGAGGGGCAGATAATGGTGCATTGATGGCTGACTGGGAAGGATATAGGGTTGCCACCTCCAGGTTGGGAAATTCCTGGAGATTTGAGGGGTGGAGCCTGGAGAGGGTGGAGTTTGAGGAGGGGCAGGTACAATGCCATAGACTCTACCTTCCAAACCAGCCTTTTCCTCTTGGGTAACCATTGTTGCCAATCTCCAGGGGAAGGCTGGAGATCACTCAGAATTACAACTGCTCTTCAGATGGCAGAGATCACTTCCCCTGGAGAAACCAGTAAGCAATGTGTCATTATACCCTGCTGAAGTCACCACAGCAAACTGATGCTGAGTGCCCAAGGCCGGGGCACCCACCCAGAGCCTCTTTCTAGAACCAGTTGTATTTATTTCCACAACGGGCCTTATTCCTAGTTTTATCATGAGGACTAATGAGAATAGTCCTCTACAGCAAAGTTTTGAAAGAAGCAGAGAATGTGCCCATTCCCATCCTGCTGCAGATAAAAGGGCTACTTTTTACAGGACATTTTGTTACTTAGGTAGGTTCCTGGTGGGGCAACAACAGTGCAGCACATTGTGCTGTTCTTCTCATTGGAATCGGGTCTCATCACCAAGCAGATAAGGGAGCAGCCATGTCCCTTAGTAGCCCTATTACATGATTTCTTTTGTAGGCCTTGGGATTAAGCGTCATATGGTTGTGGGTTTCATGCTGATGAGCAGTGTTGAGTTTTTTTGTCTGTCCTTGCCTCCGTTAAGTTATATCTTTGTTCCCTGTCCAGCTGAGAGGAATCCTGCTTCTTTGGCTTGCCACGAGCACTTTGTTTGGGTAAGCAAATGGGTGGACTATTCCAACAAGTACGGCTTCGGCTATCAGCTCTCCAACCGCAGCATTGGTGTTCTCTTCAATGATGGAACTCATATGACTCTCTCTGCCAACTGGAAGTGAGTAGAAGAAGCATTTGTCCAGAGGGTTCAGTTGGGCCTAGGAGTTCTACCTGGTACCCTTAGGCCGTGTATTTGTTCTGATGAAGCAAATAACAGCATGGGAACAGGAGCAAATCCTAGAGGAGGTGAAGGCTGGGGAAGGGCACTGGGTGAGCAGAGGCTTGCCTGTACACAGAATAAAATTGAAGGAATAGGTTGTATCCCTGGAATCCACCCATCCTGAGCAGATAATCTCGGGTTCATAAAGAACAGTTAGCTTGTTATGGGAAGGATACTTTCATCTCAAGATGCTGCAAGATGCCTGATGTTAAAATGTCAAGAGAATTCAGAGCTGCCTTATGAGCTCTCCTGTAGAGCGGTGGCAGGTCAGCTTCCACAAGCTTAAGCATCTAGGGTTCAAGGGGCCTCTTGCTATTCACTTGCTCAGCTATAAGAAGGCAGTTTCTCTATGTGCTGTCAAACTAGGTGTATAACTCTGACACTGTCTATTCAGAGCTCTTTTTTTTTCTGGGGGAAGGCACCGGAACAGAGTTCCAGAACCTCTTTGACAAATTTCTTTTTATAAATTTTCCTCTTGAGGGTTACGGCACGTCTTTTTCAACAGAAAAAATAAGCCCTGTGTCTGTCACACTTTAATCCAGTTCTTCATCCACGAACTTTGAGGTAGTGTGCCTGGTCCTCCCCGGTTTTGCTCGGTTGAGAGTGATGGCATAAAGCTCACCGTGTGGGTCTTGAGTCAGAATGGAGATTTGTACCTGATCTCCCTGCCCCCACCCCAGTCCAACACTGACTGCTACAGCACTATGGGTGTCTGAGATGTGTGTGGCTATGTGAGTTGAGGATTGCGAGCCGCTTGGCTGTCATAGTTAATCTCCTTCTTTTGTCCTACAGAAAAGTACATTATAATCTGACCAACAGTAAGCATTTCTCCTTCCCGGCTTCTGCAGTCCCTGAACAGCTGCAGGGACAGATGAGTGTTCTGCAGTACTTTGCCTCCTACATGGAGCAACATCTTATGAAGGTAAGCAGCTGCTGGACTTGGTGTGTTCAGCTTCACTGGCCAGTCTGGATTCATATAGAAGATCTAGCTTGCATTTCACCTGCTTTTTAGATCTTTAATAGGTATTTCCACAAAGATGTTTGAGGGGCACAACTCAAACTCTTGGTAAAGACTTCAGAGTTGCTTTCTCAGCACTTGTGTTCTTTTCCTTTCTCAGCTTCTGGTTGGCAGCCTTCCAACCAGAAGGTGTGCATGTGGGCCCCCTGTATGGCTTTGGCTGCATTCCTATGCATGCCCACATGGCTGTGGCTTCTTAATACACGTGTTAGGGAAGCCTGACCTGCAATTATGGAGGATGAAGAGGAAATTTCCTGTGGCAGTGCTGAACTGGGTCTTTGGAATTAGTATGTCCTTCCTGTGAATCTGGCTTGTATTACTCACCTGAACTACTGTATCCAGTGCAATCAAGACTGTTAGTCTTGGTGGATTGTATGGAGTAATGAAAAGTGCTGGGGTAGGATCCACAGCAAAACAACGAAATACACGCTTCCTGGAAGGTTTTACTTTTATTGAAAAGCCATAGATGCAATAACACGAACACTGTTAGGAATGGCGGACTACCTATGCGCATAATAGGATATAGGGCATTTGTATGGGCCCCCCTTAACAATACCCAATTAGATGGGCTCCCACATGCGGGAGACGGCGAGAGTGTCTAACGGTAGCGAAGCTGGGAACCAGAACGATCCCATGGAAGGTAGACAACACAACTCCTCCAGTAACTCCAGCAATTAAGCGCATGGGAAGGAATGCAAAGCAATTAGAACGTCTCTCCCTACTCATGGCAGCTTAGCTGACACTTGGGTATTGTGGGAAAGGATTGCTGGAACATTCTTGTGTTGGTGGAATAGCTGCCAAGGGCTGACTTTTTCCCCATCTCTCTTCCTCTCTTCAAAGGGAGGAGACTTGCCCAGCATAGACGAGGTTGGGCAGTTGCCACTGCTGCTCCTACAGTGGGTGAAGACTGATCAGGCCTTGCTGATGCTCTTCAGCAATGGAACCTTCCAGGTAAGTAATGGCATTAAGTTGTGTCTGGCCTTTGAATGGAGCAGCCTTGAGGGGGAGGTCATGCAAGACCCAGCTTTGTTCTCAACAAAGAATACTTGTAATTGCTGTATAGACTGCACCAGTGGAACATCCTTGCTCTAGAGAACATCTTCCAAGTTTTGACTCTAGAATGCTTCTGAGGAACTAGATGTCTATTTTTGCAGAAGAAAATCTGCAGTTTATTCTCCAAGGAGCTCATGGCAGCTTATGGCAAGCAATATATGGTTCTTCTCTCAGTTCTGACTTATCTCCCAGCCGTATTGTGAGAATAACTGGCCCAAAGTCATCCAACGAGCTGCATGGCTGGCTAGGCATTTGAACCCAAGGCACCCTGGTTCTTCTAACCACTATGAAACACTGCCTTTGTATAACTTTGTGGCCTCTGGTGTCTTGAATAGCAGCATTATAATGCACATTTAAAATGCTTAAGCATATAGGGCTCTCATAAATTCCTTTACATAAAGCTTGGTTCCCTACTTAATTCAGCTTCAGTTTGCAGCTCTCCCCTCTCCCTCATACTTAAAAGGGAAAGGAATGGGGTTCTGGTGTAGGTTAGTGAATTCTCTAAGGGTAGGGCCTGTTCAAAGGAATCAGGCACTAGGCATGCCTCAGTACTCATGGCCAGTATGCTCCATCCTTCCAGGTGAACTTCTACAATGATCATACCAAGGTGATCTTCAGCAAACCTGACCACTCTTGCCTTCTCACCTACATAAACCGTGACAGGAATTCCTATACCTACAAGCTCAGCAGTATTGCAGAACTTGGCTGCTCACCAGAGCTTCAGCATCGGCTCAAGTACATCCTCAAACTGCTGCTTGAGCGTGCAGATGCCTAAAGCTGCAGGATGGGACTCTTTGTCTCCTTTGTCCTTCCAAGAACGATGCTAATGTCATAAGAGATACAACTGCAGAGACCATCAGAATCCTCCCACAGTGGATGCCTGATCTTCAGGAAAGACAAGACTCCAAACAAAAACTGCACAGATGTAGCTCTGAGTACCTTATCCCAGGACCCATCAACGTCTGGATGCTTATCTCCAAACTGACTTTTTAATTAAGGGATTTGCACTTGGTTTGACATGACTGCTCCAGTCCATAGAGAGAAGGTGCAGGGATGGAAGTTAAATGTCTTAAGTTTACTCCTGTGTGACTGCACAGCTGGTTATACACAGTGGAGAAGATGGGGTCTTGGGTGTGGGGAGAGCTATTGCTGCATCCATAGTATGGAAACAATTGAGGGTAGGCTGAGGAATGAGGAGAAATGTCCTTTGAGAAGACAGTTGCTGGACTGTTTTTCCAGTGCTTATATACCTGGTAAGGTCTGGGCATCCCAGCACCTGATGGGTTTGAGGGGCTTCTCAGCTGCCCTTCTGTGAGCATGGAATTAAGGTGGCTTCCATTCATGAACTGGTTCAGGCATTTGTAACACTACCACTGTCTGCCCGTGGACTCTCTTGTGCTGCTTGCTTGGCTCTGATTCATGGACCAACTAAAGCTGTGAGTGGACAGTGTCTGGGGCTAGTCGGGCAAGGAGGGATGCGTGTCCCAACACAGTGGCACTGTCGCGAGTGGCCTTCCGCAGAGTTAGACGGGAACCACGAAAAGGGCTTCTCTGCTTGGCGTATGACTGTTGCAGCTAAGATGCTGGTGGCAGAGGGGAACTGAGGGGAACTGTGGGGAACTGTATCTGGCTGCTTTGCCAGATGGCTGTTTTCTGGAATTGGCAGGGATGAACTGCTGCCAGTCTTAATTTGGGATGAAGAGTTAGGGGGATGAGAGCTGAATCTTCAGCCTTAAATCCGAGCCAATTCAGGTTTCCAGTGCTGCTGCTCAGTACTTGATGCTGTGAAGCTGCGTGTTGCATAACAAACTCCTACACTAATTAGGCAAATAGGGCTTTTTTGTTTGCTGAGACTGTGAATTGCCCTATTTTTGCCTCAGTTTCTCAGCTGCTGTCTCAGACTCAAGATGCAGCAGAGGGATTTTGTGTATTACTGTGGTACAGACTTGAACAGCTTAAACAAAAGCTGCCTGTTTGGTATTTGAACTTGACAGACTGTTGTCCAGTTGTGGAGCTTAAATGGTATAAACTTCCACTGACACCTATTTATGTATTTATATGAATTATTTATTTTGCACCTGTGTTCTGTCAATCATGCAGCACCATGTCTCCAAACTCCAGCAGTTTGATTACAATAAACTCCTTTTTAATAAAAGCAAATATAAATCAGTGCTGATTTAACTTGAAATAGCCCTGGCTGCAGTGAAGAGCAGTCAGGACAGGAACTGGCTGATCTTCTTCCAGTCTTCTCAGAAGCTATGTTATTTCATTGGTCTAGGGCATCACATCTGTTTGAGGTTGCTTTCCATACCCTGCAACAGCTGTCACCTTAGCATGGTTAGCAGGGAACTCACAAAGAGATGTCCTGTTAAACATACAGTGGGAGCTGAGGTTGGTCATTGCTCTCAGACACATATCCAGAATATTAGTGTTCATTATGGACACTGCTAGGTATTTTGTCTACTACAGTAGGCAGGGACCCTTCTAAGCAGCTTAAGACTAAAGGGTAGGAAGCAAGAACTAAATAGGACCTCTGCTACTATACAAATACGTAGCTGGAGAGGTCTCAGTGATGTAACTCTTCTATAAATGGCATGTTTTATCAGCACAAATTATATGAACATATACAGATTTATAGGGTTTGTTTCAATCCAAAACAAATCTGGGTGGTGGTGGTAGTACGTAACATAGGGAGGTTCAAAGCCAAGCATCCTTCTATGATGGAGGCAGCTGTTTCCAAAGGAGTGTTATCTTCTGACATAAAGTAAAGCTTCCTGGACTCTTCATATCTACTTCATTGGAACAGAAATTGGAAGAAAGCTAGTACCAGCTGTTTGCTTTTGCTTTGGGGGGGGGGGAAAGAAGCAAGTGGGGGAAGGACACTCTTTTGTGGACAGAGTAGTGGACAACATGTTGCATAGGGTATAGAAGCAGCTATATGCTGGAGTGACTATACAGTTTTGTTTCTGAAAGATGAGACATATTACATTTGAAGTGGTGTCTCTAGATTGATCTGGGACCAGCCTAATGTCTGAAGTCTCACTACAAAAAGCAGCCTATTGCACACTGGGAAGAGAGCGACACTCAAATTTCTCATGTACTATTCTATCATGGAGGAAGAGTGATAGACACTGAAGGAGGCCTGTGAGTTTTTTTCCACTCCAGTAGCCCATGATGGTGGTGGGGGTGTATTAATGCTGCACTGAAGAATCTAAACACGATGGAATGGAAATAATTTTACAGTCTTCCAAAGCTGTGCAACTGTGTGAGTAATGACATGGGAGTGCCTAGGTAGACTACTTGGCAAAGAACAGAAGGTAACCAAAGGTTTATGTAGAACAGGGCTGAGCAAGAGACTGTGTATAGTTCGTCTGCAACATCCAAGGCCCCTTTAACTGCAACATCTAAGGCCCCCTTTTTGATTTTAGAATCTTGATGTAAGAGTGGAACAAATGTATCTTTCATCAACAGATTGCCATGAGTCATGGTGAAGGAGATTTGTGTGCACCTCAAAAGGGTTATTCTGCCAGCACAGTAGATCCAGTAACTAGGACTGTCTAAATACTGGTGTTTTGGGGCAAGTGCTGTCCTATGTCTGCTGTAAGAGGCTGCTTTGCTTCATGAATTCCTCCTTGGAAGAGACTATGGCCCTTTCACATTACCATTCTAAACCAGATGTTATTCATTCTTGTCCTGATTTCGAGTATAGGAATACAGGGATGGGGGTTATGTACAGCAAACTTCCTTCCATTAATGAGCCATCTCTAAAGCACTATTGTCATTTCAAACTGCTGTTTTTCTCCCTACGCAATCTTTCTTGGACTTTTAAAAAAACCTTCTAAGGTGAGTGCTTTAGTGCTAAACCACTATAGCACTTCAGTGCTATAGCGGACACCATTGAGATGCATTGGAGTCCATGGAGTCAATGCATCTCAATGGTGCCACTATAGCGCTCACCTTAGAATGTTTTTTTAAAAGTCTGAGGAAGATTGCGCGTCAAAAATGGGTGGGGAAAACAGTGGCATTGTGGGAAGTGCTATGGACATTTTAAACAGCATGCCACAGCGATTCAGAAGTACAACAAAAGGGGTTGAAAATGGAAAAAAAGCAGTTTCCCTTGAAAGTGGCTCAACCACACTCTGCTAACCCAATGCGAGCATTTGTATGAACAGGTAAATAAATTCCACTAGCAGCCAGTTATGAAAACAGGACTGTCTGAAATCACAGAAAAAATCCATTAGCAACCAGTTACTAAAACGGAATACAAAGGCAGTTTGAAAAGGGTCTATGGTGTTGATTATGCACAGAGGTCATTTTGGGGGGGATCGCGGGGGATCGCAGTTCCCCCGGGTGAGGTACGGGGGCGGGGCACAAGATGAAGCCCCTCCCCCTGCTTCTGGCCGCCCCGCTTCCGGCCCTCATTCAGCCAGGAGGAGGCAGGAGAAGAGGGAGGGTAAGTTGCTTCCTCCCTGCCTCTCCCCACCCCTGCATGCCTGGGGCCAGGGAGGGCCTTTGCGGGGCTTCCTCGTACTCCCGCCAGACTTGCAGGTCCACTGCCAGGCCCCTCATGGGGCTCGGCAGTGGAGCTGCAAGGCCGGCGGCGGTGGCCGGGACCGTTGGGGGCGGGGTGTGTGGCCTTATGACACACGTCCGGTGATGTCGGGGGGGGGGGCGGCCTTATGACACACTTCCGGTGATGTCAGGGGGGGTGGCATATGCTAATGAGTTATGCTAATGAGTTCCCCTAGCTCTTTTTCTACGAAACGACCCCTGACTATGCATCTCTTGTAGCAGCAGTCGCCTGAAGTTTTTTAAAATGCAGCAGAGCTGTGGGAGGGGTGCTTCATGTTCCCTGTCAAAATTACCTTATGGCTGCTTTTGCCATGTGAGGGGATAATCCTTTTATAGGGCAAATATCTTGTGCACAAGCAAAATGTTGCTGGGAATGGTTCATTATGTTACTGTCCCTGCCCATCTTTAAAAATAAGGAAACCCAATCCCAGACCTCCCACAGTAACTTCTCTCACATACATATATGGGAAGCTTTAGTTGGATCTCCTAAGGTGTGTCCTCTGAGGGTGGCCAGTGATACAACCTGTTCAGAAGTGCTTTGTATATACCTGATGTAACACCTGGAGCATCTGTGTGTGTACAATTAAAGTATACAGTGTGTTCTGTAATTAGTACTAAGGATGTGCATTAGTTTCCCAATGAAAAATGATTTGAACCATCCATTTTAATTGAACCAGAATGGGAGGGGCCGCCTCTTCTAGCTGTCCTACCCCCAACACACATTGCATTGTAAGTGGCAGCCAGGAACTCTCTGATGCTTCAGATGCAGACCACAGGAAACATAGTACACCATACACGGTTATCTGAGATGTGTGGGGAAATGGAAAGGGGGAGAGATTCCCCCCCCACCTGCCGGTCCGGTGGCTGGATGGGGGGGCAACAACATACCTATTGATTTAAATTTTATGGAGTAATAATAATAATAATAATAATAATAATAAACATCTATCATAGAAATGAATGATTTGAAACAAAAAAGTGCATTCCTAGTTGCTTCTCCCAAATTCCTAGGACTCTTAGCTCTGCCTGAAAGACCTATAATGAACTGGAAGCTTGTTAATCTAGCCTTTTAGAGAAGTCCATGCAGGTAGTACTGGTTGGAGTGATTCTCAAGGCTATTGATATGTTTCTTATTTAAATGGGTTTGGAACATCAAGGAATGGATCCCTTGGAGGAAGTGACCTTGGTGTTTCAGGGGGAATGGCAGAGAGTGTGGGGCTCTTGAAGTCCTTATACTGCTAGGGTTTGCAGTGCAGGCCACAGAGGCTGACCGTTAGTCCTCCTGTGCAGAGCTCTTGTGTCTTGGCTAGGGGATGCAATAGCAGCACATGTCTAAATACTGTTATGGAAGTCAAGCAGAGTTGGATCAACCACATGTTCTGAATATAATGGAACATGTATGTTCTGAGGGCATAATGTTCTGAGAACAAGCATAATGTAGAGTGGTTGTAATGTATCTAGTCCAGACAAGTCCATAGACAAACGTTGACCTTCACTCCAAGAGGCAATGGACTATGCGGATCCAAGCCTGCTCCAATCGGGGGGCTAGGTTCCTGGCTGAGAGCCTATGGGACTCTCGGCCACTGTAAATAACCTATAGGAAAGTAGGGTGTGTGTTTTGGGTGGCGTTTTCTCGGGGATATAAGCCGGCCTGCGAGCCGGCCAAAGTCATCTTGTTCCTGATCGAATAAAGTAGGCTTTGCTGAAATCACTCTCCGTTTGCGTACTTTTCAATGGTGATTCATGAGTATTGCTATAACCTTTGTAAAAAGTCCCTACCAGTTTCTCAACATTTTCTAGGGAAAGTACCTAATCTTCAAAAGAAGAGTCAGGATTCAAGCTTGTGTGGCCTGTGGCCTGAAAGGCAGCCCTGTTCTTTAATGATAAGTGCCTGTCGACTGGCTGCAGTTGCTTATCGGAACTGGAAAGGCAGCCTAGAGCATTGCTTAGAGAGCATTTAATTCATCTCTCTTTTAAAAGCAGGCATGGTTACAGAGGGGAAAAGTTATATGGATAAATTTAGATGAGGGGAAAAGCTAATGACTAAGACCAACAGCACCTGCAAGAAATCACACACACACACTGCCGCTTTACCACTGGGTATGAGGCAGATGGTGCCTTTTATAGTGTTAAATGCTACTGGTGAAATATGCTGTTCAGTGTAAGTAGGTTTCAGAGCTGCATGAAGTGAAGCTGGTCCAATTATATTTTCTTTATGTACGCTTGCCTCTGCCAGTCAGGAAGGTGATGTGGGTTGTTCTGAAATCAGCTCTGTTCTGGCAGATCTCCTAATGTTAATAGGAAATCTCTTTGTTCCTGCTTCGTGAAAGGTCACATCTATTTCGCGACTGATGAAAGCCTAGAAGCAGTAATAGCCCCGTGTATTGCTACATTTTTGTTGGCTGCTTCTGGAAAAGGAGTTAGGGCTTTGGCAGCTTCAGTTCTACAATGATACATTATTTAAACATCTCACATTCTTGGTATGACCCC